GCAGCAACAGCAGCAGCAGCAGCAGCAGCAGGTATCGACGCATGCAGCACTGCAGCAGCAATGGAGGAAAATTATTGAGGTGTATAGTCAACAGCTGCTGCAGTTAGAGGAAGAAGGAACAAAAGCCCTTAAGAGTTGGCAGCAGCAGCAGCAGCAGCAAAGACGAGATCTATACAAAGCAGCAGCAGCAATTGTACAACACATTGCGCCTAGACGGCTAGCAGACAGCAGCAGCAACAGCAGCGACAGCAGCAGCAGCAGCAGTAGTACAGGTGGGCAGCAAAGTGTACGGAGTAGCCCGTTATCAGCAGCAGCAGGCTGCCTATACAGTCCAACTGGTAGTAGCAGGCAGCAACACCAACACGGGCAGCAGCAGCAGCAGCAGCAGCAGCAGCAGCAGGAAAAGCAGGAGGAACAACAGCATCAGCAGGCAATGAACCATCACGAAAAGCTTCAGGAACAGCAACAGCAGCAGCAGCAGCAACAGCAGCAGCATCAGCAGGAGTGTGAGTATGCTGATGAGGAAGTGTTATGTGTATTGATGACACTTCGTTGGTTAAATAGATCTGAATTGGGGTGTACGTACACCCGAATTAAGCGGTTCTTTCCCCTTGCTGCAGATAAGAAAATAAAATATTTACTGCATGCACAGCAGCAGCAAAATCTTATTAATCAACGTTTATTAACATGTATTCGTGTATGGAAGGAAGCAAGACAGCAGCAGCTAACTCGTGTGCTGCAGCAGCTTGCTGCTGCTGCAGCACGTTGCAAAGAAGCAGCAGATAGCTGCCGCAGGAAGCAAAAGCTAAATAATAAACGCATGCAGCTGCAGCAGGAACTGCAGCAGCAAAGAGGAAGGAAGGAGGAAGCAACAAAACGCATGCAAGAAGCAGAAAGAGCAGCAAAAGAAGCTGAGGTGTATAGACAGCTACAAAAGAGTATAAAGGAAAAAGAAAGAAGAGAAAAAGATAAAGAAAATATAAAAGAATTCAGAAGACGTAAGTTACTAGAGGAGCAGCAGCAGGAGAAAGAAAGATTAGCAGCAGCAGCAGCAGCAGCAGCAGCAGCAGAAGCACCCCATATAAAGCTGCTGCGCGAAGCCCGTGTAGCAAGACGACAGGAGCAGCACAAGTTGCGTTTGCTGCGGCAGCAGCAAGAGAGACAAGAGAAGCAGCAGCAGCAGCTGCTGCTGCAGCAGAGGCTATTAGCAGCAGCAGCAAAATTAAAACCTTTAATAGACAACGATCCTTTGCGTATATGGCGACCAACAGCTTCCTCTAATATATATGCAGAGATAATAAAACAGCAGCAGCAGCAGCAGCAGCAGCAGCAGCAGCAACAGCAGCAGCAGCAGCAGCGTCTAAATAGTTTTTCTGTTGAGAATTCCTTTAGCAGCAATGAATTAATGAAGGATATTCGCTATAGGCTTAGTGATGCATTTGCTGCTGCTAATTTATCTGCTGCTGCTGCAGCACAAGATTTATTAATAAAAATGTGCCAACAAGACACAACTATTAATAATATCTTTCCTTCTTAATTATTCTTTTTATTTATTTATTTATTTATTTATTTATTTTTTCTTGCATATACTAAAAACTAATATAGCTGTACTTGCATGCATGCATGCATGTATATAATATAAATAGTAATAAAAGGAAAAAAAAAACAAGAAAATAAAAATAAGAGAAAAAGACTTGAAATAAATATAAAGTCTAAAACGCAAGATGTTAACAGCAGCAGCAGCAGCAGCAGCAGCAGCATAATAATAATCAGCAGCAGGAGCAATAGCAGTTAAAAAAAGCAGCAAAAGAAAAAAGCTGCATTATATTAACTACTATGGCTATAACTGCAGGAAATAAAGCATAAATATGAATTATTAGTATAATAATTGCTATTGTTGTTGCTGTTGCTGCTGTTGCTGCTGCTGCAATAATAATAATAATAATAATAATAATAATAATAATTAAGAAGAAGAAGAATTAGTACAATTAAGACATGCTTGTGCTTGTCTTGCTGCAGCAGCAATATCTATTTCCCCATCAGCATTAACAACTGCAGGACCATAATATGCCATAGCATTTCTTGATTTATAATATTCATTCCTCATGGCAGATTGTGTCATTTTTACATCATAATAATGAATAATTGGCTCAAATAATAATGACCATAAAAAACATATTATTATACATATACCTAACATTATACTATATATACTATCTAATATATTCTGTATTGATGTTCCCCATACACCTAATGCTAATACCTCTGTAATACACACACACATACACATACACATATGTATATATATTATTTATTTATTTATTTATTTATTTTATTTATTTATTTTATTTATTTTATTTATTTTATTCTTTTTTTTCCTGGTTTTTTTTCTTCTTTTTTCCTTCTTTTTCTTGTGCTATTTCAGGGATTCAAATAATAAATATTATTAAATATAAAATTAAATATAATTAAATATAATTAAATATAATTAATTATAATTAATTAAATTAATTAATTATTTTTCTTTTTTTTTCCTGTTTCTTACCGGATATAGCTGTAATATGGAAACAAATTGCACCTAACCATCCCCATGCTTCTCCTGCTCCCTCTGAATGGTAAGTCTCTAAGAAAAAGAAGGCCCTATAAATAAATAAATAAATAAATAAATAAATAAATAAATAAATAAATAAAATAAATAAATTAAATAAATAAAATAAAATAAATAATATGTATATTATAAATAATAATAATGACCCTTATATCATTACCATAAATTAATTATAATTAATTAATTAATATATTTATAAATACCTAATTAATTAAATTAATTAAATTAATTAATTAATTAATTAATTAATTAAATTAATTTATTAATTAATTAATAAATAGATACTTACCCTCCAAATAAGAACATAGCAATAGCATCACATAATCTAGCAGTAAAGAAGATAAGCCAATTAGTACCACCAGTAATATTTTTATTCATAAATAAATCATCAAAATAATAATTAGATGAATAAATAATTAATAAACTTAATATTGAAGAAAATACACCAAAAGAAGAACCTTGTTGTAATAATTTACTCCCTGTTCTGTACCCACGAGACTGTTTTATACTGCAAAAA